TTTTTAAGACACTACCAAGTATAAACATTCTACAAGGTCCAGCACAAGGCCACATTTCAGATTGATATGAGAATAACTCGTCGAAAAGTATCTCTTTGTCACTCGGGCCACATCATTGAACCTGGTTGTCACGGTATATTTAAATAATGATAACACAAGCCGTTTCGTAGCATCACATGCTCCCACCCATCAGTTATCGCTCTGCTGTAGAAAAGAGAAATTGCTAGGGAATCGCTTGCATCTTGTGCCAGCATCAAACGCATTGTTCCCTGCCTATATCATGATGGTTTTCTCGCTCTGCCCATAATGAAACAATATGTCACTGGTAACCATAAAGATTAAAAGACCTATACATACAAATGCCGTAAACGCCACGCTGCATAAAAGATGTAATAGATGGGTTGATACATAAGAAAAAGAGAATGGTATAAAGCGGAGTAATCGAGTTACTTAGAAACGGACTTTTTCCTGGGAGACTTGACGTTCAGCACTTGTCGCATGCGCCGAAGTTTGGCCCACCATTCGCGATCGCGAGCCTTTTTGGCCTCTGGGTTGCTGTCGTCCACTACCAGCTCGTCCGTCGAAGGAGCCTCAGATGGCGCACGACTTGAAACAGAAACGGTCGACCGAACATGGCGGCGATGCCGTACCTGGAGCGCCTGGCTCAAGAGCTGCCACCCGCATCGAAGGTTCTCCGGCTTCTCGGACGCACGTCCGGTCCCGCTCTGTGCGGTTCCGTTGACCCATGGGCAATATTCCATGTGTTCGATAATCACATCAAGCGAATCGTAAAGAGCGGCAGTCCCGTTGGCCTTCGGTTTGTACATCCACAGACCCAACCGTCGGAAACACACACTGCAGCCCGCCAGGCCAGCTGTCCCATCTGGGACACTATCCCAGCCGAACAAGGCAAGCGCAAAAGCGGTTTTGTTGATTGCTAACTCGCTGGAGGCGATTGTCTGGTCCGAGTCCTGGCCATTCTCGGTCTCCTGAGGGGTGTCTGATCCGATGTCTTCGTGGGGCTTTTCGTTGCCTCCAAAATCCGTTGGAAGAGTGCCGATGATCGCGTCTAAATCAAGCGACTCTGGGGTCTGAATAGTGGTGTACTCCGGTAATTGATCTGCCATCTTCACCAGGTTGGAATAGCGCGTGCACAGTCCGGAGGTTGCCACATCTGGGTTAGACAATGGCAACCGATGGATTGTGGCTAGAGCAATTGGGTCAGTTTGAATACAGATCAGAGACAAGCAAGGAGAAACTAATGCACAATCATACCATCGCACCCTTTATTCCTCCAGGGACAATTCTCACCATGCCCTGTGACGATCTGTCCCACATACTCCTCCACCAGCCTTGTACCTGCAAATCACGCCCAATCAGCCCCTGTAAGAAAGAAAAGAGATATACGTAAAGGTGAGATGCCAACTCACGGACTTGCTTCCTTTCCTGCACCTTCTCCGCATCGAAACCGTCCAGCTCGTCCAGCTCGTCCGGCAGTTTGACAACGACCGAGCCACCGCACCCGCCCACGCACACCACACGCGCTACATCGTTACAGATCCAGCCGCGCTTGGCCCATTCCACCTCATTAATCGCCGCCGGTTTGGGTGCCCACCGATCCACGCGACGGAAGGTTTCCAATCGCTCCAGGAAGCGCTCACGGTCCCATGGAACAAAGCTGGGGCGCGACGGTGTTGTGGAGTTGTTCGAGGCTCGTGAAGTCGGGCGCGGTGTGCTCAGAAGAGAGCTACGAGCGAATGGAAGCTCGCTGAAGTCCAAACGAGCCTTTTTGCTCGAATGCTCGAGGGAGGTACGTTCTCGTGCGGGCGTGGGGGTTCCGGGGATGGCTGACTTGGTGAGTGCGGGTGTCGAGGAGGGCTTCGTCAGGGATTCAAGAACACGGTGGAACTTGCGCTTTTTGGTTTCCACCGCGTAAGACATTTTTCCCGAGCTCGGGGAAGGTGTTAGAGTCGGTGTGTGGGATAAATATATAGGTTTGGGGGAGTCGGGGATTCCTCATGAGAGCTTGGAGAGCATCGGAGCTGATGGCGCTAGTCCCTAACTGGTAGTGGCTGATCTCCGCTGGATTGTTGCCTCAGGCACCTAAGAATAACCGTCCGTTCTTACAGTATTTAGTAGAGCAGGGCATGGTAAGAATTTGATGAAAGTCCAATAGTCTCAGGTCTTCTGTGACTGTGTGCACTTCCATCTGCATGATTGGTAGGGGTTAGCTGAAGTGACATTTCTGAATTATCTCATCAATCTGGGTGGTGTCAAATAGGTTGGATTTAGGCACTCTACTCTTTCCCAAGATATCGCTCAATCCCTCCGAAGAAAAGAGCAATGAACAAGCTTCCGTAAAGTGAGCCTTGTATCAACTAGAACTCTAGCTTTGATTTGCATCTTCTACATCTCTGTCCACCAGCCAGCCCAAGACTCTTTACTGTCGGATGCGAGCCTGTTTGGTGTTTAGCAACAATGACAGGGCAGTACGTTGAACTTAGACCCGAGTGATTTATCTTTATCTTCCTGAGAGCCAATAACAGAACAGTCCCAGCGAGAGTAAGACCATGAACCAGATAAGTTTGTGAATGTGGGCCATTCTTCGGGCTTGCTTTCCCCACGTCTGCCAACCCAGTGCTGCTCGGTTAGGGCATGACAGAAAAGTGATCGTTTCCGCGTCTGCCATGACCTCTGACGCCAAATCGGCTGGCAAGTTCCTTGAGTAAGGTATCAGGTATCGACCACTAAAGGTCCTGTAGAGACCATCCCGAGCCTGGGTGCGACAGACTCCTGCCGATGTCTTGCACATCATCTTCATCCGGCTATACCGAATCTCTGTATATTTCGAAAGAAGATCCTGGATATCCGCATCGGACGGGTTTTGCACACCACGCGCATTGATGAGGTCGTGCAGCAGCGAAGACAAGGTTGCAGCATCTTCAATGGCACAGTTGGCCCCTTGACCAAAGTTGGGTGTCATCTACAGATCATTTATTATTTTAAATTGAGCCCAAAAGAGAACGAAGTGAAGTAAGAGTAGTTGTGAGCATACCTTGTGAACACTGTCGCCCATGAGAACCATACGCTCAAAAAACCAGGTCCTGAACAAGCCTTCCTCTAGTGCAGTCATGGAGTACACTTCTTTATTCTTCCATAGATCCCCCACGCAGACGTCCTTGAAGAACCGCACATGTTTCAACTTGACGATGAGCTTGGCAGCGTCTTTGTCTGAGAATCGTGGAACGTCGGGATAGATATACTTCTGTTGAAGCTTCGTGATGATGAACCAGAATACCCGACCTTTCTTGCCATGTATGGTGAGGATGGATAGATGATCAAAAAGTCCGTTGATCTGTTCATGAACCTCGAGATTCTGGATACGTGACGAGATTCCAAAGACGCAGGAATATTGGACCGTCATAGCTGTAATTTGCATTTGTCAGCGCTGTCACCCACACAGTCGTAGATTCATTGACTAGAGACTGAGACACAGACAAGTTCGTTCACGATTCGAAATCAGCCCTGGCTGAAGCTCATCCGCGAGTCTCCAGATCTCTGATCGGATTCGACTGTGGACGCCATCGGCACCAATGACAAGATTCCCCTCATATATCGAGCCGTCAGCCGCTGTCACGCGAAGGCCTTGATCGACCTTTCGTACTTGAACGACTTTCTTATTGGTGAGGATGTTATGTTTGGCGTGGTATTTTTCGTACAAGATCTGGAGGAACTTTTGACGATCTAGGAAGGCAATGGGGTATCCGAATCTACAAGATTTAGCAGGTGATTCGACGCAGTGTTGTGAGTAGATTTTGTTTGTTCCAAGGCCAGAGGGAAATACCTCTCATGTAGGATTTTGGGATAGACATTGGCGAAGTTGAACCCGTCAGGATAGGTAATATGAGCTTTGTGCGTAGGCTCAATGTACTGCTCGATGGCATCGAAAAGATTTAACTGAGCAAGAATACGGCCTCCATTCGGCATGATACCCACAGAGGCACCCATCTGCGGAGCAATGTCACTGCCCTTCTCAAGGACGACATGCTCGATATTTGCATGTTGTAGACAATGAGCGAGCGTGAGACCCGCGACAGAGCCACCAACGATGATGACCTTGAAGGGGGGCTGTGTCGCAGGCATACTTGGTTGGCAAAGAGGTATGATGAAATGCTAGAGGTAATAGGTTGACTGAAGGAAGGTTGGAAAGAGAAGGTTTTCAGAATTGTTGTGAATGTTACTAGGACCACGGGGAAACACAGCCAGGAGTTTGCCATGGGAACCCTTCCTGGTTGATTACCAGTCACAAAATAACTCGCGTTCAGAAGATCTGATTTCCCCGAGAGATTTTGCCCGGTACGTTGTTTGCGTTGACTGGGGTGTGTCTCTGTGATACTTGATTTGTATTCTCCTGTACACTACCTCAAATGAGTGCCCTCCAATCTACCGCCGCAACGGATCCCATGGTTCAAGTCCAATCTACGGCCGCAACGGATCCCATGGTTGAAAGGAAGAGATTATCACTGACGTTGAATGTGCAATTAATCCTGAATTAACAATTCTTGGATGACTTCAGCATCTATCTCCGCAGTGGTTGTTTCTTTTTCTCTCGGAAAAACATCCTGTCTAGTTCAGCCCAGGCCCAGCCTCGTGCAGTGCAGTACAGCACTGATCCTTGTATGACCCTCTCCACGACCAAGAAACAACTCAAGGACATAGACTTTCTCCGCGGTAATACAAGGAAGGGAAACTAAAATTACACGCCTCGTATGCAACAACCGACAGCAATGTGAGATTCATTACAGGCTTGCCTGTCATCGCAGACCATAAGATCTCTCTATCCCGAGCGATATTTGGCCTCGTGTTCAGCTCTCACGATCCAAGCTCAGATGAAGTCACAGAATAAAGCGCTCAAATTACTTACGCTTATGTTTGTCGTCCAATTGCGATGCCTCCTCCTGCTGTTTGATAAGGAAAAAGCAAAAGCCATAGACCAGCTCGGAGAGAAAGAAGACGGCGACAGCCCAGAGAATAAGCGGACAGTTCAGCCAGGCAAAGGCACCTGGCCAATAAGCCCAGCGAATATAAGCAAAGCCGATAGTGGAGATAGATCCCAGGAACCGCGAGAGCCTGACTTAGCTGTTAGCACACAGGGTCTCTTGTCGGGATAAACATATTATAGACTCGAAAACTATCTGTCGACGCACCATTTTGTGTACGAAGCGCCACGCGTGCTCGCCCGAGTCAGCAACAGAAACACATCGCCAACACTGATGAACATCTGACAGACGACGGCTCCCCACGAGTAAGCCAGACCAGGGCCCAGCTGAGCGGCCAGGGCCAGGTGTCCGCTCAGCCAAAAGAGGGCCATGCCTGCAAAAGCCAGGGCCAAATTTTTCATGACCAGTGGGGAATGGCGCCATTCATTGGAGCCGTTCCTGATGGCGGCATATATGACTGTGATATCGAGAAGCAAACCCAGAAAGAAGGCCACGCGCTCGACCATCCCCTTGGCTGGGTATACTAGGCAATATACAATTTCCCATGCAAAGTTGATCGTAATCCCTGCGATGGTCATGCTGTAGGTCTGGTCTCGGAAGGAGGTGTAGGCCACATTCAGATAGTACGCAAGCCAACCGAAACCCATCCCCGCGATGAATAGGCTGTCAAGCCATTTGAGAGCTTCGTACTCTGCAGGCACTTCCGAATGTTCGAATCCGTCCATTTGAAAAGCTCTGCCATGGAAAAGAAGGAAAGAAGGTAGAAAAAGCAATGGCCCTAGTCCTGGTCCAATACGAACTGCCCTCACTAGCACCATTACTTTGGCACTGCTTATATACATCTGCTCTGAAATAGCAAGTACCAGAGGGTGTCAACGAGGCACAGAGAAGCAGAGGACCCGCTATGCTACTACCCTTCTACGACCTCAGTCTTGCCACGCAAGTACTCCCAAGTTCTCCCGCCCGGAGTAGGACTGGACTTCAAATCTGTCAACCGTGTGACCTAGGATCGTATACGTTTTTCTGCAGGACTCTGCAAGACAGCCAGGGAAGCTTCAGGTCTGGCAAAGTGTTTGCCATGTTGTGCATTAAGCGCATGTACCTATGCCTAACTGACTGATTGACTGACATCCAGCTGATGGGTTGGATCCCAGGTCAGGGAAGTGGCATCAGCGGCAAGCCTGAGGAAACGAGATAGTGTAACTTGTCTCAAGCCCTCGACCACCTTTCATCATATACAGCAGAGAAGGGAAAGGGGCCCGAGGGTCATAAGCAATCCATCTGCAGCTGGTGGGGCATCTTTAAAAGCCATGCCATTACATATATAGATCTGAAGAGAAACCCTTCTTCATTCAAAATCCTAAACTCACCTGCACTGTAACCTGAAGTATTCTTGCCTGGTTGCTTCTTAACTGAAAAGCCCTAACAACCGCGGAAAGGGGCCCCGAAAGGAAGGAAAAACGCACCCAGAACAGCGAATCATGACCGCAATTTCAGATGTTGCTTCCATGTCTCTTCCATGGATGGCAACTATTGGGATTTTCCCTCTTGTTGTCTATGTGCTTCTGGATAGAATGCCTCCTCTGTGGCCGACCTCCAAGAAGGCATATTTAATCGGCCAGAAGAGGCCCGATACAGTGACCTCCTTTGAATGTCCTTATGCTTACATCCGCCAGATCTATGGCAAGTATCACTGGGCACCATTTGTACACAAGCTCTCTCCAACACTCAAGACCGACGATCCAGCCAAATACAAAATGGTCAACGAGATTATGGATGCAATTCACTTGTGCTTGATGCTGGTGGATGATGTGTGTAGTTTCCTAGTTTCCTTTGTTGGCCTGTTTTTTCTGTCTGCAGCTCGGGCAAGTTCACTGATAGCAGACATACGCACACGGTAGATCACCGACAACAGCGACTATCGCAAAGGCAAACCGGCAGCGCACAAGATTTATGGTCCTTCGGAGACCGCCAACCGAGCCTACTACCGGGTGACGCAGATCTTGAACGAGACGGTGCAGCGGTTCCCGAAGCTGGGTCCCTTCTTGATGCAGAATCTGGAGGAGATTCTAGCCGGTCAGGACCTATCGTTGGTGTGGAGGCGAGATGGCTTGAATGTATTTCCGACATTGCACACCGAGCGTGTAGCGGCATATCGGAAAATGGCCTCCCTAAAGACAGGGGCCCTGTTTCGGATGCTAGCTCAGCTAGTGAAGGAAGACACGTCGATGGATGAGACGATGACCACTTTGGCGTACATCTCACCCTTGCCTTTTCCCTCTCTTCTCTGAATTGAAGAGGTGGCCCTCCGAGCGCTAACTATATATAACCCGCTACACAGATGGTGCTCTCAACTTCAGAACGACTGCAAGAACGTCTACTCCTCAGAGTACGCCAAGGCGAAAGGTGCGCTGGCAGAGGACCTGCGCAACCACGAGTACTCGTATCCCATCATCCTGGCTCTTGAAGCCCCCGATGGCCACTGGGTGGCCAGAGCGTTGGAGACAAGCTCCCCCCGAAATATCAGGAAAGCTCTGGCGGTGATTCAGAGCGAGGGGGTGCGGAATGCATGTTTTACAGAACTAAAGCTGGCCAGTGCTTCTGTGCAAGACTGGCTATCCATCTGGGGACGAAACGAGAAGATGAACTTGAAAAGTCAGTAGGGGGTTGTATAGAGTGGGTGATACCTGGTATAGGGTGGTTTAGCTCCAGATAGGGGGTTGCCAGGTGGTAGGAGTGGCTCTCGCGATACATACAGCGGCGTTATGGTATGAACTCAGCATTACATGTCTGTCTCTCCCTGTTCTAAATTTTCTTTCACTCTCTTTATCCTCTACTACACTGTGTCATGGTTGTAATCCGGTAGGTTGGCTCTCTGAGTTTAGTCATAAATCTCCGAGGGTTCACAGCTCGTGCAAAATGGGGGGTGACAATAAGGCTCTTCGGCTCGAGTCACGCCACCATAATTCTCCGATCAATTCTATACATCAGCTTTGACTAGGGATAGCTTTAACTAAGGATTGGGTTTAGCTAGGAAGTATAAGCTGCCTTGTCCTGTCTACAATGTTGGATCCCGTAAGCGGATAGATGCAGTCAAGCAGATAATCTCAAGATGCTCTTTGGACAACCTATATTGTCATGATAATAGTTGACCAGGTCATGAATTTCGATCATTGATTGATTGTTCGTCAGTTGATCTTGCAGTCATAATCAGAATTGAAGGTCACGCTTCTGTCCCAATTTCTTTCTTTTTTTTTGATTTTAATTTATTTATTTATTTTTTCCTGTTCTTGCTTTTTTCCTTGACCAAGACCTACATCTTCCTATTTATCCAACAACATGTTTTTGTTTTCGATTATATTGGCGGTCACCATAGGCTCTATGCTCGGGGCAATTACACGGCCATGCATCCTTGTCAGCCTCTCACAGAGACCTCCTTTTCTCACTCCACTTATTGGGAACCCATTGTCGCAGCTTCCCTCTGTCTAACGTCGAAAGCTGGGTGCTGTGCGACTATTCTCGCAGTTGATGACTCTAGAAGCATGCGTAGTCCTGCATTCCAGACACGCGATATTCCCGGGGCCACCGCGGCCTATCAGCCAGCCTTCGAGGCATCCGTATGCCTTAAATGTCTCTGTGCTCGTATTCCTCGGCGATAGCATGGTAGTCCTCCTGGGTTCAGGTCCTTCAGGTCCTTCATCTGGGCTTCTCGATTCAAGGATTCACTATCACTGCTACACGAGGAGACAATGAACTCTGACATGTTACTCGAAAACGAACAACATTCAACGAGTAGAAATCACGCTCGATCGATGAAGGAGATAGTCAACATCTGACATGCAACGCTGGGCTATTTCCAATGGATGGACGATGATCTCGCTTCAATATGACATTTGCCCCCTCCCCCCCTCGTAGTCATTGTCACATTCCCTCGGAGCCAGGATACCCTTAGCTATCCAGAAAACGCAGTTGAGATCAGCAATTCTCGGGGACCTGGAAGAAAGAACCACTCGCCTCTCAGAAACGAATGAATATCATTAATAGAAACTGAATGAAGAAGCAACAAACCAAACCCACATATATTGTAGTTTGCGTGGGAAGCATGACCTTCTTCTCCCCTCCTCCTCCTCCTCCTCCCCATACTCCTCCTACCCTGGCTCTAATCTAAAAGTTTGCTTTCCTTTCAGTTTGCCTGCATGCATGAACATGGAGCCGATTCAAGTATCAACCTGCATTTTGGCAATCGTCCTGGGAGTGACCGGCCACCTGGGCCTGTTGATCCACTCCGAGTGGGATGTATATGCATTTCCTATTCTGGCTACTCTCGGTCTGGGGCCGGCCGTAGTGCTCTTCCTCCTTGCCGGCGCGAGCTACTCCAATGCATTCTGGCTCACGCTGAACGCCGTCGTGAGCTTTGACGCCTCCTTGTGTTTGTCCATCGCCGTCTACCGGTACTTCTTCCATGCATTGCGGCACTTTCCCGGTCCCCAGCTCGCCAGAATCTCTGCGCTCTGGTCGATCAACGCGGCGGTGGTCGATGCCAAATGGCATCTCCGGGTGCAGGAGCTCCATCGTCAATATGGGACCTTTGTTCGGATTAGTATGTAAATCTTCATCAATATTGTTAGCTTTCTTTATTTTTCTTTGATTTGGGATGGCAAATTACCAAAAGGAGGATTTGATTGACCGGATCACTAGAGCCACGTGAGATCTCCATAGATGACCCAGCAGCCATCAAGGCTATACATGGGCCGGGAACATCGTGCGTCAAGGGCCCGTTCTACGACCTGAATTATCCCAGCCATTCCCTGCAGATGACAAGAGACAAGGCTTTCCATTCAAAGCGGAGGCGGCTTTGGGATCGTGGGTTTACTCCTCGAGGTACGTTCCCTGCATATGTCCACCAGCTGATACTGCCCCCGTCACGACCGATCTGACACTGACACCCCTTGCTAGCACTGGCCGGGTATGAGCCCTTTATCCTCGATCACTGCAGAGTTCTGGTCCAGCTCATCTCCTCTCGAGCCCCGCACAAGCAGGAAGTTAATGAGCTGATCGCCGGGTTCACCTGGGACTCGATGGGCATCCTTGCATTCGGCAAATCGTTTAACATGCTCCAAGGCGCTCCGCCTTCGAACATCCAGCAGATGAAGGATCTTGGTCGAATTGCGAGCGTGTTGCAGTGCGCGAGCTGGATTGCGCAATTGGTGCGGAATTCCCCGGGGCTACGAGTCAAGAACCAGCTTTGGCTGAACTGGTGTAGCGAACAGTTGGAGAAAAGGAAAAAGGTACGTAGCTCTCTCCTTAAGCCGTCCGGGTCATGTGAGCCCAATGAGAGGACCTTGCTGATCGGCGCAGATGGAGCTGAACCATCAGGACCTCTTCAGCTATCTGATCGAGGGGGCTTTGGCCAACTATGAAGGCCAAATGAAGAGCGAAATAGATCAAGACTTAGTCTACGACTCGGAGCTTACAATCACTGCAGGCAGCGATACCACGGCTGCGACGGTTAGTGCGCTGCTGTATCTGTTGGCCCAGCATCCAGACAAGCTCCAGAAGCTGCAGCAGGAGGTGGACTCTTGTGTCTCTGCCGGCGAGGCAATCACCCATGCTGCGCTCGCAGGCAAGCCATGGCTGGAAAGCTGCATTAATGAGGGTCTTCGCATGTATCCAAGCGTGGCGAGCGGTGTCCCCCGCGAGACTGGCCCTGAAGGGCTCATGGTTGCCGGAGTCTACATCCCTCCAAGGACAATCGTCTCTACACCTACTTACGCTATCCACCGAGGTTCGAGTCTCCCATTATCTAAGATAGACTTTGTAAGCACAAGCTGACGATCCACAGATCCACGAAACTTCGTCGACCCGGATAGCTTCGTCCCCGAGCGGTGGTCAAGCAAGCCGGAGATGGTCCTCTGCAAGGAAGCATTCAAACCTTTCTCATCCGGAAAATATGCCTGCGCGGGGAAGCAATTTGCGATGATGGAGATGCGACTTGTCGTGGCCACCATTGTGAAGAATTTCGACCTCGAGTTTCCCCCCGGAGAGGGACAAGAGCCACTAGAGAAAGTCGGCCACGGGGTATTGGATTGTTTCACGGCGCATATTCCGGACTATCATCTGATCTTCCGTCCCAGGTAGACAAATTCGAAGTCCTGGTGATAGTAGTAATAGTAGTAGTTAGCAGCAGGTTAGAAGCTGTTTGTGAGTAAGCATTCCAGTTGATAGAATTGAAATACATCGCAACTCTTTCAGCAGCACCCGCTGCGATTGTCCGGATGCGGCCAAAGAGAAACACGGTTGGGGCTAGCCTCCAACCAGGGAAACCACAAGCAGCACGAATTCAGGGAGAATAAAAGGACGTCGAGACCCCCTAGATCGGGCTTGAATGCCCCTTCCACGTCATCTTTCATCAGGGGAGTTTCTTGTGTACTGTTGTCACCATGACCACGGATGAAGCAACACACGAGGGTGGGCGAGGCAGCATCAGCATGTATGATCCGGCACGGGATCGCTGGGAAGAGAAGGCGGAAGTTGTTCCGCCGGCCTCGTCTTCTCCATCTCCCCCAAACCGTCCTCGTTCAACCATCACTCCTTCACCACCACCACAACAACAACAACAACAACAACAACAAGAACAACAACAACAACAAGAACAACAACAAAAAAGACACTCACCCTCTTCTGCTGTACGTGTTGTGAACCCCAGTATTCCAATGCCCCAGAAACAATACTACTGCAGGAACCTCTTCCCGGTGGAGTCTGCGGTTAGCGAGTGGTGGCGTCGGAGGCGGTGATTCCCCGACATGGGCGGCTGGCTTTGTTTGCTTGCTTGCTGCACTTGCGGTGAAATCTCTGTTTTTCACCACTTCGTTGGGACTGAAAATAGGACAACTTAACCTAATTCTCTACCATTACTCACTGCCACTCAATAGATCACAGATGAGCCACAATTGAAGTCTCCGATCTCACTGATTCCGGCCCCTCTCTCTCCAACTCTCCCTTCCAGGCCACCCGACAAACCCGCTCCTCGCAACCTCACATCAACCTCAACCCGACAAAAGCCCCCATCCAAACCACCAGGTCCATCTACCAAAATGGGCGATTATTCGTACTCCGAGCCCGTCCGCTCTCCCTCGCCCAGCGGCCACCACGGACGGGAAAGCCATGACCCCTACAAGCGCAAATACCCCGAGGAGGAGCCCGCCTCGACAACGACAACGACAGATCAACAATACCGGCCCATCTCCAAACGCAAGCGCGTGGAGGAGCGCCACCAGAAACTCCGCAAGCGCGGCCGCACCCCTCCATCGGCCTACTCGCGTCGCGATCGGGACGACGAGCCCGCCGGCGGCTCTAACCGCAACCGCAACGCCCACAATCGATCCCCCTCGCCTCCCATGCCGCCGCGGTCGCCGACCCCGGAAGCCCAGTCGCGCCCGCGCAAGCGGCCCGGCGGTGGCGCGCGGATGGGCCTGGTGGACCGGGAAACCCTCCGGCGGCGACAGGAGGAGCGCGAGCGCACGGAGCAGGAGGAGGCGATCCGCAACTCGCAGATCCGGGGCGTGACGGACCTTGTGCGGCAGCATTACAACGCCGTGCCGCAGCGGGGCCGCGAGTGGCGCAAGACGGAGAGTAAGATCAAGGGCCTGCGCAGCTTCAACAATTGGGTCAAGAGCACGCTTATCCAGAAGTTCTCGCCGGATGAGGAGTTTGTGTCCCGCGCGATCGGGACCAAGGACTGGGCCGACGGCACGGGCCCGCCGCCGGTCGAGCAGAAGAAGCTCCTGGTGATCGATCTGGGTTGCGGGAAGGGTGGTGATCTGGGCAAGTGGCAGCTGGCGCCGCAACCTGTGGATCTGTACGTGGGTCTGGACCCGGCTGAAGTCTCCATCGTGCAGGCGCGCGAGCGATACAGCCAGATGCGGTCGGGACGCGGAGGTCCGCGCGGTGGTCGCGGGGGTGGTGGCGGTGGTGGCGGCCGGGGCCCGAGTTTCCATGCGGAGTTCGCGCCGAAGGATTGCTTTGGCGAGTGGTTGGGGGATATCGACATTGTGCAGCGGGTTGGGATTGATCCCAATGTGGGACCTGGGGGCTCGCTGATGAGCTCGCGCTGGGGCGGAGGTGGCTTCGACGTGGTCGCTTCGATGTTCGCGATCCACTATGCATTTGAGAGCGAGGAGAAGGCCCGGCAGATGCTGCGCAATGTGGCCGGCTGTCTGAAGAAGGGCGGCCGGTTCATGGGTGTCTGCCCGAACTCGGATGTCATCAGTGCCAAGGTGGCCGAGTGCCATGCTAAGCGCAAGGCGCGCGAGGAGGCGGCGGCGGCGTCGAAGAACGAAGAAGCCGAGCCCGAGGACGGAGAAGTCGAGGAGGACACCACCAAGGTCGAATGGGGCAACTCTATCTACCGCGTGCGGTTCCCCGGGGATACGCCCGAAGATGGCATTTTCCGGCCGCCGTTCGGCTGGAGGTACAACTACTTCATGCAGGAGGCTGTGGAGGAGGTGCCGGAATACGTGGTGCCCTGGGAAGCATTCCGAGCGTACGTGTTTTACTTGTTCTTCGTTCTGGTCTATCGGTACGAACATGGCTAACGATGTGAGATAGCTTGACGGAGGAGTACAATCTGGAGTTGCAATATCGCAAGCCGTTCCTGGAAGTGTGGCGCGATGAGAAGGATGATGCCGAGTTGGGGCCTCTGAGTGAGCGCATGGGTGTGCGTGATCGCAATACTGGGCAACTCAGCATGACGGCGGAGGAGCAAGAGGCAGTCAGTAAGTACAACATCTCTTTGGGCGAAATCGGTTATATAAGCCAAGCTAACGAGATGCTATAGGTTTCTACCACGCTTTCTGTTTCTACAAGGTCTAGTTGGATGAAGGGTTTAGCTCTAGCTTGGTACTTCGCTATCACTATCTATATTGCTGGCAATACAACTAGCTACAGTTCACTCAATCAATGCATATAGTTTTTAGACTATCATACTTCAAGCAATGTAGCCAGGGGTAGAACAGTAGTATTAAACTAAAATGTGTAAATCATCCTCACTTCTACCAAGTACAGCAGATACTGAGAGGTGCCACGGCCAAAACTCGGCTCTGGTAAACTGTTCTTTCTTGCCTGACCGCCCTAAACTGGCAGAATAGTGGTAAGAACATCCGGAGAAAACTCGGCGAAGAAACTGGTTAATATCCCACCGCCTTGGTAAGCACATGACCGGCAGAATGCCAGCAACCTCGCGAGTAAAATCCAGGCCCTCATATATGAACAGTTCCAGAAAATCAAGCTGCAAAACTGTTCTCTTTATCCGACCGCCATAAACCGGCAGAAAAGTGGTAAAACCAGCCGGCCAAAACTCGGCGAGGAAACTGGTAAAGCTCCCACCGCCTTGCGAGGCACATGACCGGCAGAACGCCAGCAACCTCGCAAGAGAAATTCAGGCACCAACACATGCACAGGTCCGGAAAATCAGGCATCAAAACTGTTCAATTCTGGCGGTGGCAGAAAATCAGGTCCCTAACCCACTTGACCACCGCGCGCCCCACCGATAACCCCCTCCCCCGATAAATTGATAAGCGCCGATAAGGTACTCGATAGAAGTGTAAATCAGCTATAACCCGAACCATACTAGCGTGACCGCGTCGCGTCTTGCTTTCTTTGCTCTCGGAGTTTCTTTCATCTTGCAAGCGACAGCGCAGCAGTCTATGTAATAGGGTCAGGTAAGTAAGACAGGGTCGGTAAGTCTACTAACGTAACAGGTTTCTTTTGACTTAGTGTTGTGGGTGAGGGTTTATAGTTTCTTTGACTTGATCGAGTCCACGAAGTGAACAAAGAGCGCCCTCACGCACTGCTCCCCCCGCCTCCACCACACCAGGCCAGACCAGACCGAAACCACACAGCACGTACGGAGCCCCTCCTTTCTGATCAACAAACTATCTTGTTGGCAAAACAAGTCGGATCTCTTGGGGTTTCCTCCGGCTACACTCCCCACTTACTCTTCATAACAGAGCCTAACATCAAACACATTCTCTACACCAGAGAGCGATATCAGAATCAACATCAACAGCCACTACAACAACAGCAGCAGCCTCTACAGCCCTAATTTAACTTACTTGCTGCAAGTGCAAGTCCTCCCAATATGCCCCTCCGCCGCCGAAACGAACCCGCACCCACCTCCTCATCTTCCACATCAACAACAGCCTCCTCTACAATCCCCCAACCACCACCGTACCAGCCCCCGACGATCTCCAACCCTAAAGCCGACCAACTGACCCTCCACGCGACCTCACACGCCGCCCTCCTCAGCCTCCTGACCAGCCAACCCCTCCGGAACCTGAAGACGCACCTCCAGCATGCGCAGGAAAAATTGACCGAGGCGGCCGGGGATATCAACGAACGGTTGACGGATGCAGAGGAGCGGGTGCGGCGGAAGAAGGAGCGAAATGCTGAGGGAGGGGATGATGATAATGATGAGGAGGAGGTAGCCGCGCTCAAAGAAAAGGTGGAAGCGACAACTGCCAAGTTGGATCAGAAGATGCGGGGTGCGATTGATGCGGAGGTGAAACTGGAGGGGCTGAGTGAGTTGCTACGGGGTTTGGATGGCAATGTGAATGTGGTGGATGGCGCGGTGGCTACTAGGAGTCGATCGACAAGAAGTAGTCGGCGGAGTAGGAGGGATGAAGATGGGGATGAGGAGATGGAGGATGCTGGTGCTCGTGACGATGACGAGGAGGAGGGGGAGGGAGGTGATGACGATGAAGAGATTGCCGGACCGACGTTGGTGGGCAAGATAGAGGAGAGTGTCACCGCGACGAAGGACAAGTGGAGTGGGTTGTCGCTTACCCAGAAGTATGTCAATGCTGCTTCCCTTTTCATTGAGACAGGATGAGAGACTGACAAGGCCATAGATACTCCACCAACAACGCTTACATCGGATTCTATCGCATCATTCACGAAGCCAAACACCCGGGTGATGATATCCCCCCACTCCCGCATGCCTCGACCTGGTTCGCCCACCTCGAAGAAGGGGCCGACAAGAAACCCACAACTTCGGCTACCAGCAGCAGAGGCGTGGCGACAAGCGCAGTATCGGGAGTGTCGGCTACCATGGGGGCATCCTCCTCTCGCCACGCCAAAAATCCTTCCGCTGAAGAAGGCGATGACGAAGATGCTTCAGACGAAGACATCGCTATTTCCCGTGAACGCATTTCTCTCAAGTGCCCCCTTACTCTCCTCCCCTTCCAGGATCCGGTCACCAGCACCAAATGTCCGCACAGCTTCGAGCGCGAGGCCATTACCGCAATGATTGCGCAGAGCCGCACCACCGCCCCGGACCCGAGGCACGCTTCATCCAGTGGGCACACGGGCCGACGTGCGCGTCGCGTGCACTGTGTCAAGTGTCCGGTGTGTGAGGTGGTTTTGACCGAGTTTGATCTACGAAGTGATCCCGTTCTTCTGCGCAGGTTGAAGAGAGCTGAGGCTGCTCAAAGGCGGGAGCAGGAAGAACTGGAGGAGGAAGAGTATGATCAAGGAGGTGTGGGTGGGCGGAGGAAGAGAAGTAGGAAAAATGGGATCACGGTGGCTAGTGATGATGATGATGATGGCGACACAGCTACCTCACGAAGAGTGGCGTCTCAGCAAGACCAGATCAGAATCAAACAGGAACGCGGTGTCTCCGTCGCTGCTGTTGTGGACCTGGAGGCGGATGAAAACGTGGAAAATGAAGATGAGGAAGACGAAGAATTTGAGGACGAAGGAAATGGGCACGCAGGAGATGATGATGGGGAGGAGGACGAGGATCAGGACCAGGAGGTAAGGGCAGGGGAGAACGACGAAAACGACGAAAATGAAAATGCAATTCAAGTGGCTGATGACATATCACAAGGCGAGGTAAATGAAGATCAAGAGCTGGAAGAGCAAAGCGAAGAGGGGGGTGCTGATGAGGGAAGTCAGGAGGTAAGAGACGAAGAAGGCCACGAAGGAGCAGAGTTTGAAGAGACAATGCAGGTGGCTGATGAAATATTTCAAGATGAGGTAGTTGAATTTCAGGAGCAGGAAAGCAAAGAGGATGAGATGGAGGTTGAGGAAGAAGGACAGGAGGTAAGAGAGGGAGATGAAGAAGTCGAAGAATCGGTGCAGAATGCTGATAACACAATTCAGCATGAGACAAATGAGACTCAAGGGCATGAGGGGCAAGTGGATGAAGAAGATGAGGAGGAGCCAGGGCAAGAGGAAAAGGAATCACAGGAAACACATGGAGAAGAAAGGCAGGAAGATGCGGAAAATGTGGATCAGGCAATGCAATATGTCGAAGCTGAATCAGCTGAACAACAAGAATATCAGGTTGTCCATCAAGAAGAGAAAAAAATAGAAATCCATGATATTGACACTGCGGTTAAACAAGATGACCAGAGTGTTCATGCTCAACCACTTGAACAAGAAGATGAGGAAGATGTCCTCAAAGAAGAAGGCGAACCGCATCAACATGTCAACACCAGAGCTATCGAACAAGAAGTTCTGCAAGAAGAAGTTATGAAGGAGGAGAGTGAGGACAATGCTGTCGAACGATCGGAGAACGAAGACCAGGTACATGATGGGGGAGAAGAAGATGAGAGTGAGCTCGCGGACGCTGAATCAGATGACCAGAATGACCAGGGAACGATAGAATATGGGGATAAAAGGCAGTGCGTTGACACTGGTTCAGTTAGGCCGAAGAACGCGGGCGTCGAAGAGGAGAAAGAGAGTCAAGAAGCTGCGGATGAACCAACTAGACAAGAACAAGATGAGGAGGAGGACGGTAGCAGGAGCGAGACGAAACAAGGCGTTGGCGATGCTCTGGTCAAGCCAAATGTCCAGGCAGATGCAGAGCAGGAAGATGAGGCACTTGCTGATGCTCAACCTCAACTTGTTGAAGAGCAAATCCAGGAAAATATCAATGAGGAAGCGGAGGCCATTGAAGAAGACGAGGAAGTGGTGCAGACAAAAGAGAAAAATGTCCAGAACGAAGAGCAAGAAAACAATGGAAGTCGTCAACTGTATGCTGATTTTATTGAGCATAAAGCTCAGGATCAAGATGTGAATCAGCAACTCGCGCATGGACAAATTGATCAAACAAGCATAAGAGAGACAAACAAGGAAGAAGACCATGAATCCGAAAGCAGGGATGTGGTGGATGAGAAGAGAGAGGACCAGGAACAGAGTCAACATGCTGAGGCTGAGTCAGACAAGCAAGAAGACCAGGGTGGTTCAGAGAAAGTGGAGGGAGATGATGGTCTGCACGTCGGTGCTGAGTCAGTAGAGCGAGCTGAGCAAGAAAACGAAGAGCAGAATCAAGATCAAGATGTTGTTGAGGAGGAACCTGTCGCGCCAGGAGATCAGGATGATTTGGAAGAAGATGGAAATGAGCTCACCGCAGATGGTGCAGTGCTTGACGATGCAGAGCAAGGAGGCGGAGATGAAGATGTCAATCCCAATATCGTTGAAGATGATATCGCTAAGCCTCAAGACCTAGAAGATGAGAACATGAGAGAAGAAGAAGAAGAAGAAGAAGAAGAAAAAGAATCAATCAGCTTCGTCAATGCTGGGCCGATGGCCGATGAGGTTGTAGTCCAGGCGGAACGGGAAGGAGCAAACGAGGGAGAAGAAGGAGGCAAGCACATGGGTAATGAAAACTTGGATAACAAAGCAGAGGAAGAGGAGATGAACACCTTGCCAAAGACCGGCGGAGAAGAGGTTGCCAACAATGATGATCTATTCAAAGAAGGAGATCAAGAACAGGTGCAATCGGTGCTTTCAAAGGAAGCAGAGGGGTATATGGATGTTGAAGTGGAGGAAGATGGCCCAGAATACCGGAAAATTGATCCAGATTACGTGTATGAAAGATTGGAAGGAGAAGACACAGATGATCCAGACGAGGGAAGGGAAGGAGAAGAACTAGGATACGCGGACCCGGACGTAGACGCAGACGACTCAGACGAGGAAAGGGAAGGAGAAGAAGCAGGATATGCGGACCAGGACCTGGACCAGGACCTGGACGCAGAAGACTCAGAAAATATAGACTACGAGGCGCTCGGATACGAAGACGAAGACGAAGAGCAAGACTCTATCCCAGACGATGAGATAGATTTTAAGGTCGACTACTAAGAGGCCTGTTTATGGGTGGGTATCTTTGTTATTATCGGTGTTTACTCATGATCATATTCTGCAATACCCTTGTGCTCGGTCCCTTAAGCACGCCCTGGGATATATAACTAGTAAGAAATACACAGAAAAAGCTCAGTCAAATAAGAAACTCCACCCAGGGTACTGGCCATGAAGAAAGAGTGTAGTCAACAGCCGTCACACATCATCGCATCTGTGCCAGACAGCATGCAACCCTCGTGACTGTTCTGTCGATCAGCCCGTCAGCCCGATCGGGTGTGGCTTGCCGATCGGGCATTGAGTGGGAATGCAGTGTGGGCGAAACAGAATGATCTGTTCGACGCGGCATTTTCTTGAATCATGCCTAAATATGGATAAAAAGAGAAAACACGAAAAAAAGAAATTAAGAAACCACGTCAGAAATCAATCCGAACACACTACTTGGTGATGAGGTTGAGATAGTCGGCGACAATCAGTGTAACCATGCTGGTGGATCCGCGGGGTTAGTGACAGCACTACACGATAAGAAAGCCTTGGGGGTGGGGAAACTAACGCATGAGGAGCGATCCGCACATAGTAGGTGCCGAAGCCGCGGTAGAATCGCAGCCAGCCCTCCTCTTGCGCCACCTTGCGCGCGCAGTCCAGTAGGCCCTTGTACGGCAGCTTGCCGGTCAAGGGATCCTTCTGCTGCTTCTGCAGACGAGTCTTGATAAAGTCAAATGGCAACGAGAGGAAGCTGGCGAAGAAACCGGCGATCGCAGAGGCGGCAAAGGTCTGGCTCTGGGCCGACAAATTGGTGTGGGCCTTCAATTGAGCCTTAGACTCCGCAAAGAAGGTCAATTGACCGACGTTGAGGGCCATCGCGCGCACAACGGTCGGCAAGGCACCGGCCCACAGGGCTGGAACACCTTCCGACTTGGAGATGCGGACAAGCGCGTCCAGCGCCGAGCGGTAGTTGGCCCGCGCTGCGGGAGGCTTGAGGCCGTCCGATTGCATACGGACCAGGGCCAAATCGGCTGGGTTGCCAATCATGGCTGCAATACCACCAGCAGTCAACCCAGCCCCCGCGCGTTCGGCAAAGGTGACCTTACGGTTAGCAGCCTCTGCGCGCTTGTTGAGCATTTTGCTGAAGGTGTCAAAGAAACCCAGGCGGGCGGTGGTGTAGACAGCTTGACGAAGGAGACCAGCAGATAGACCCGTGTAAAGATCGAGTACCTTGCCAGACGCGATGATGTCGCGAGCTACGCCAAAGGCCGAGGGTCGAGGTCCGGTGCGGACACCCTCGCCGGCTAATTGCAAACGGACTTTGATCATGTCAATGGGCTGAATGACGACAGTAGCGGTCATGCCAGCAAGACCGCCATTGACGAAGGGAAGCGCCGCACGAGTGTAGGGGTGATGAAGGAAGTCCATGGCGGGCTGGGGTTCTTTGGCGGCGGCAACAGCTGGGGTTGTGGTGGTGGTTGTAGTAGAAGCCATGTTGAGGGAGTAATCAGGGTTCACTCCAGACCTATTGGTTATTGTCAGTATCTAGGATCAATGGTCAATGCTAAAAAAAAATGCTGCTCCGATTGAAAGAAATGTTGAGACGACAGGCAGGGAATGAATATAAAGCTAAGACAACACGAGGAAAAGCGGGGTGGGGAAACAAAGAAGCTTGGAATCAAAGTATGGAGGAGGCTATGCCCCAGGCCAAAACAGTTGGGCCTGGCCAGGCACTTTCCACAAGACCATCCGGGGATCTTCCAAGAGGGAAAAGCCGAAGCTACTTACCGTGGATGAGAGAAGGCGATGCAGAAGCAAAAGGAGGGGGTGCGAAGGAGCTTAAGGTGGAGGAGGAGGAGGCAAATATTTTATTTAAGACTTGGATGGAAAAAAGCTCCTGGTCAGATGATGGATGAGGAGGAGGAGGAGGAGGAGGAAAATGTCGCGGGGAAAGACGGACAGGGAGCAGGGAGGGTGAGTTTTAAGCAAAGTGGGTAGAAGGAGAAAAGATGATCAAGCCTGGCAAGCACTGCCAGGCCGAGGAGGTAACTACCACCACCTCACCATTGATGGATGGCTGGTTGAATGTGGTACAGAGAGTCTGGTACAGTCACAGTGATTGATGGGTCATACTCGGGCATCGGAACCTACAGTACAGTGCTGGTGGAGATTTACGGGGTGGTAGTTTTAGTCGTATTTCTCTTCGAATAGGCATCTCCATAATAATATGATTGTTATTAAATACCTGATTTGCATATGGTCCAGTATCCACCAAGTAGTATGTACAGTAGTAAGTACAAGTACAGTACTTTGGACTAAGCAGCTACTGCATGATGCCCGCCAGCTGGAAAATGCGGGGGAGCGTGGCAACGTCATGTTACTATCGTCTTTTTCCTTTTTCTTTTTCACGTTACCACCTTCATCCTTAATTTTGATTGTATTGTTTCATACTGTATCACACACCGAGCAATATAACATCTATAGATAGAAAGAACGATAGGGACCGTTTTCCTCCACTCTTCAGCCAACCTACCCTGCCCTGTACTGTACATGCTATAGAGGATCATCTCTCAACTCTCATACTTGCAGGTGTCCACCCACCGAGTGGGGAACTCAGCTCCTCCCCACCTCCAGTAATCGGCTACTAAACCACATCCAGCACCTAACGAGAACCCCCCGGAAACCCCGGCCAGGCCCGAGGTTAGACTCCATACATCTGGATCTCTTGGCTCGACATGACATCCCAAGCATCAGCGCTGATCAATATTCTTCCGCATCTTCCGCTGCTCCCCCCTCTCCCGCCCTGCTTTCCCGCATCCTCATCATCATCTCTCAAACCAACAACCAAGTGCATTGGAGAGAAATCACACCTCCCCATCCATCTGATACTGCCGATAATCGGACTGATTATTACCTGAACATCACTTCGCCTTTCGACATCCCAACAAGTTCCCTTCACCGAAGAACCAATCAGTATGGAACGGGATGGAATCCGGAGAAGGTTTCCTCCGGGTATTAGTTTGGTGTTGACATCACGGGCGAAAGAACTACCTAAGCCAGGATCAAGTCACTACGATAGTAAAGGGATTAGTTGTACTCCGTAGGTAGCAGTGATATCGTCCGAACAGAGACGCGAGAACATAGAGTAGCGTATAAACCAATGAAGACACACCTACATCCTCACCAACTACTAGTATCCGCTGTACTGTACTGTACTGTACATCTCCCCGATCTTCCTCCACCATATCCGGTATGTGGTACCCACACCAAGCAAGCTGCCGGACTTCTATCCTTACCTATCACTCGAGGTACGCAGGAGGAGTACCTATCACACTCGGTATCCCGGGCCGGGAGATAGTGAGCCGCTGGGCGGATCTCGGTAATTTCTTTCGGGCGGGAGGAGAGTAGTAGGCTCTCGCTACATGATTCTTCTGTTAATCGCTCGGCTATGCTACCAAACAATCCTTAAGGCTAGGAGGACAGTCGTCCGGAATGCCCAGTCGCTATCTCTAAACCAATCCCCTGGCGGCGATTGATCATGCCGCGCACTGACCATATCCTTTCGACGCTGTTAGCTCGCTCCATTTGGGGGGCCAGGGCGAGGATCAGGGTGATTAAACAGCCGATTATCGGTGGATACGGACTGTCATGTCGGAGGAATCTATCTCCCCTCAGAGCCTGGCTCTTTGTGGATCGCTAGTACGCAGAACAGATCCGCCTCGCGCCTGATGTTCTCAATGAACCACTTGGTAAATATGAAGTAGGCGACTGCCCCGTTCTGCTTCCCAACAATTTTCTCATTGCTGTGACTGTCTGGTTGAGAAGTTGAAACCACAAACTCCCACACTATACATCAATACTCATATTCACATATCTGGATTTGGACTCCGTATCGAAAACTCCCAAACTCCCAGAAGGATCAATCAAATCAAGGCACAACCCGTTGTTCCCATTCTTTTGCCTTCATGTATAACCGAAGAGCCCGCCTTGTCTGCCGAGCCCGACTGCCTTCCCGCCTCAGCCTGCCGATGCTTTCTACTGAGCAAATTCCCTCGGCCTGAAGTGAAGGACCGGCCCCCTCTTCTGGCTGATGATGTGATCATAAAGCTGAAACTCATGCGGATTCGACCGCCCGAGCTCCCCACAGTCTCGATTGCCTGCTCCCATCTCCCCAACAGTGCCCTCCGCCCGGCGAAAGTCATACTGCCAGATCAGGCACGCTAGTGCTAACTGCAGCTCCATTTGTGCCAGATGTCGCCCGACGCAGGCGCGCGTCCCTTGTGAAAAGGGTGTATATGCGGCTGTCGTGATGCTCGCTTGCTCGAGCGAGTCATCAACGTTGCTGGTCAGCCACCTCTCCGGGAGGAACGTATCTGGCCGCGAGAAATATTCTGCATTGTGATGGATACTGTAGATTCCGGTACCGACACTGCAGCCCTCAGGAATAACGTGGCCGTCGACAACTATGGTGTCTCCCTTCTCGACCCGGCGATAGGGACATCCGGCTACGGCCGGAGAGATTCGGAGAGTCTCTTTAATGCAAGCGTGCAGATAGGGGCACTGTTGGAGAAGAAGGGGCCCTGTGCGGATTGAGTCCAGCGTTGGAAATGTTGTGCGGATTTCCTGAGCGAGGCGGGCGTAGGCGTGGGGATAAGTAGCCAGATAGAATAGATTGGCGCAGAGCGAAACAGATGTGGAGTCGGATCCTGTCATTCATGCCATCAGCAAGTCATGAGATAGATGAGAAGGAGAAAAGCGATGGGGTATGTGTAACCCACCAGCAACAGCCAACATCGCGGCCTCCGAGTAGACGTCCGCATCGCTGAATGCGGGTCCCGTCCCCGCGCTCACTTTATTATCCCGCGCGTTCGTCAATCGACTAAACACATGGCCTGACATGCTTGCGGCGTCCGCCATCATAGTGTTCACCAGCCGGTGGTATCGCTTCATTCCGTGCATCTCATCAGGGAATAACTTCCGATCCAGTCGACCAAGAAACACGTACGGCGCATACATCAACAGTGACAGTCGCTTCATCATCCCAGTGATGTCGTACACAGTGCATCGGTGCTGTTGGCTGCCAAGTAGATTAACCGCTTTTCCAAAAACCAGCTCCGTGATCACATCAAATGCAAAATAGCTGCACCAGTCTGACATGACCATTGGTTCTCCCCAGGAACTGTCCGAATTGCCTTGAGATTTGGGGCGATACAGTGACTTGCAGAATTTGTGGACATGTGCCAACAACTTTGGCTCAAACTCGCGCATTGCCGTGCTTGAGAATCCAGGGCTTATAATCTTGTTTCGTCTAGCGTGGTCCGTGGGGCTCGTGACCGTGAGAAGGTTCTTGGTGCCGAGTTGAATGACGCCGTAGTGGACATCTTTGCGAAGGTCCTTGCCTCGGACGTAGATATCTTTCCCTCTGGTTAGCCAACAGGCTCAAAGGCAATCTTCCTGCATAGCAGCAACACACCTTTCATTCCACTTGCTGTGTTGAAAATCACCAAGTTCGGCGTATATCGAATCACCGGCCCTATACATCCTCAGTCAGCACTTCGAGACTCCTTTCCATTGAAAGGTCACTATATTCATTGAAACCCACCATACCTCTGGTGGCACCACCAGATATGTAGATGCAGGTCTCCTTTGACAGCATGATACGCTGCCCCGGCTTCGGTGAATTTGCCTAGCCATGGACCAGGATACTTGGCTAGAGGATGGAAGTAGACCTGATATATGCCGTACACCAGGAGCTGCAAGTTCAGTGTCAGCGCGGCCGTGAGTTCATCAACTAACACATAGTCTGTATCCTCATGTCGCAACAAGCGACCTTAAGACAAAATATTGACCTACCGCGAGAACGACGGCTCCCACTCCCATCAGCGCCAGTGGCAGCGAAAACAGAGAATGAGATGTAATCATATTCTCGTCCAAGATGTTGATGCATGCACTGAATCTCAAGCTCTATGCAGCACACTTCTTTCCCATGGCGATCTTAGTTGAAGAGAAGTGTTGTATCTCAGTTTACGCGGACGCGACGCGATGGTCTCCAGGATCGCTCAAGGAGATTTTGGTGGCGCGAGGCTTACGCGCGCGAGTCCTTTTCTCTCACACAATAGAGAATGCAAATACATATTTAGAAAATTTGGAGGGGTGTACTTGGCCCCTGAAGGCGGGAATGGCATAGACAGGAGGCAACACCGAAACGCAAGTGACCATCCCCCTTGGAGGGGTGCTCAAAGAATGGTGGTGGCCATGGACCACTCAATTTTCACGTGAGGAAGATGCAAGCGTGTTAGTCAAGCATCCTTGCTTTGGCACCTCGAAAAAGCCTCGAGGCTCAGTAAGGGCCACACACCAGACAGGGCACTACATGTCTGGCAC